CAGGACTCTGTCCTGTCAACTCCAGCTTCCTTGGGTTCTCAGCCCCATCACTTCAACTGAGGACGGCTCCCAGGTTCTACCTGGCTCCGCCTCCCCTCACCACAGCCTGGAAATTCTCTCCAGGCAGGCAGCTGGGCCACTGTGCGGCTCACCCCATGTCCTTCCCATCTCCCAGGGATTGTCGCTCTTCACGTCTGATGTCTAGGGCCACCGCTTCACATATTTTGTCTGCTTTGTTTTGATTTTGGTTGTTTCAGGTGAGAGGCTATGTGTGGCTCGTTACCCGATCTTGGCCACCAAATAGCACTTTTATGTTCATGTGCACATTCCTGTAGGGTATTATTACTCCTATTATCACAAAATGTGGGTGACTTAAACTTCCCATGCTGGCAAATTCTCACTTTCCCAGAGCGTCACGGTATTACTCGATGCTTGTCAAAGGTAATAGGCTCCAGTGGCCTTCCCTGTTTGTGCTTTGCAACCTGTCGAGGTTGTAAATGTACTCAACAGGGTCCTGGCCTACACTTAGTATGAGCCTGTAAGTTCTTCTGAGGAAATTCAGCACACACCATAAATTACCCATGTTAGTTTAGCAAAAAAGGAGCATGGAAGCAGGAATCTGGTGGACAAAGATTCCACTCAGGCCCATCTGTTACTAAAGCTGAACCCACGAAATGAAGAAAGCAGGTCAGGGCTGTGGTGGATATTCTCCCCACGGGGAAACTGACTCCCCGTCGGCAAGGTGCACGCAGGACCTGCGGCGTCTGCAGCTCGGGCTCCCTGTATCTGCCCTGTGGCCGGGCAGAGCCTCCATGCTCAGTTGCCAAGCAGCCCAGCAGGGCTCCCCAGGGTGCAGGGAAAGCGGGCCAGCCCACCAGCCAGGCTCTGTTCACAGAGGGCAGGCCTGCTCTGAGCCAGCTGGCCATCGCCCACACGCAAGCCCGGCAAGGCAGGCCAAACTGCCTAGTTTCCGTTCTCTGTGCTGTGCGTTCCCCAGCGCCGCTTCTGGTGCAAGCAAAGGCAGCTGGCACAAACGGGCCCTCAATCCTGTTCTTGATACGCGTTGCCAGAATTCAGTTTAAAGGAATAAAAGGCAAACATAAACTTCATCTCCTACTGGAGAAATTGGTTAAGCTAAAAGAAACCGAAGGGAGTGAGCAGCACAACTGCTCTAATTTACTCACACAACGCTGCCGTCAAACTGCCGGGAAGTATCCCCGCCCCCTGAAAAACGAAAGCTCTTTAGGACATCTGTCCACTCACTGCTGAAAAGTCAGCTTCCACACTGGTGATTCTAAAGGGGGGAGCGGGTCAAGAGCACTGGGTTTGGTGACGCCTTTCACAGCCAGTAAACTGGGTGCTGGCTGGGTGGGAGGACCGGCTGGTAAGACAGCTTCCTTAGCTCAATTCCCATCCACCCCGGCAGGCGCTCTTCAGCTACTCCACGCTAGACCTCTCCACCAGGATGCTGAAGCCTTTGGATGCATCTCTGAGCAGCATTCACTATGCAGACAATAAAATGAACAACCTCACAAAGGAAATCAACCGGCCGAATGCAGTCGGTTCTGACTTATGTTAGTTCAACTTAAGATTTCTTGGCTCTATGATGGTGCAAAAGCACCTGCACAAGCATTCGCTCACTTTCAGTATCGAATTCAGTAAATTACATGAAGTATTCCACAATCTAACATAAAATGAGATGATTTTGCCTTGCTGTAGGCTAATATGAGCATATGTAAGGCAGGCTAGGCTTAGCTATGAGGTTTGATAGGTATATTAAATGCATTTTTGACCTAAAATATTTGTAGCTTGCAGTGAGTTGACACATAGCACCACTGTAAGGTGAGAAATAACTTTCTAGTAGTAGACTAAAAATTTGAAATACAGTAAAAAATATGCTTCTTTATTAATGCACAAAATGATAAAAAAAAAATCTATCAATCTAAAAAGTCACCTTCATTTCAAAGTCGTGACAAGCGATGTGCCAGGGTTTCTTTGGGTGGTGACATCACAGGGGCTTTCCCGTCTACACTCATAACTGAAGGGAACACCAGATTTCAGCTGATGAAAAGAAAAATGCAGTGTCGGTCTCCCCCAAGACTACAGACCCCGGAACTCTGTCCCTGGGGCGTCTGAGGGCTCGGGGACCCCTAGATTAAGAACACATTTCTTTTTCTGCACTAGTGAGAAAGAACAATGCCTTGGGAGACAGAAGGTTGCATCTCCATCCTGGCTCCACTCCTAGCCATCTGGAAAGCTCCTCTCCTTAAGACCTAGGCAGAAAATGTGTGCTGTCTTGCCGGGGGCCACTCCCTGGCACTTCTCTCTGCTGCACCGCCTTTCCAGGCTCCATCACCTGGCTGGCTGTAATTGGTCTCTGGGGATGTAACGGGTGGTACCCCCTTAAGGAGGCCTTCTTAGCTCCCACATGGCTGGTAGAAGGACTCTCAGTCGTCCCTAAGTACCCCGTAGCCACTCCTATTGCTGATCTCCACCACTGTTGTGTAAAGACCCACCTATGTCATTTGTCCCCAGCCCTTGTACAAGGGTGAGTTCCTCTAAAGCAGCAATAATGACCCCTCTAGCCCTGTGTTCCTCAGGGTGAGCACAGGGCTTGGCACATAGAAGACCATCAATCCATAGTTACTGAACGAACAGATGAATGGATGGATGAAAGTTGTGACCACACACAGTCTCTCTTTCTCTCTCATTGCAAAAGTATATCTTAATTTGACATCAGTGCTTCTTAACCCTTGTCACATGTGTGAAATGCTTTTGGACATTTTAGAAATTACTGAGACTCAGGCTGCACCACAGAGACTGAGCTTCCAGTAGTCAGAGGTGGGACCCCAGCCTTTGTACTTCAAAAAACCCCCAACTAGGTACAGCCAGGGCTAAGAGCCCATGGTACCACAAGAATAGCAGCTGAGGTAAGAGCACCATGCTCTCAAATGAACTTTTTTCCTAGGGCTAGAAAGATGAAATTAGAGCAGAAGTCTGAGCCTGCAAGGAGCTAAGCACATAAATTGAGTTTCTGAGCCTCAGAGTCAGGTCATAGTTCTGAATCCCAAAACATCAGTGATAGCTGAACTACACACTCCGAGATTTAGATGGAATACTCTGGGGCTCGACAGAGAAGATCACAAAAAAACCTGCAACCTCTGTAGGCAACCACACTGTTCCATCCCCTCCTGGCAACAGATCCTGGGGCAAAGGGTGCAGTCCTGGGTGACAGCCCATCTTGTAGGTGAAGCATCCCACCATGCGGTTTCCTCATCTACAAGGTAGGAAAGATGATGTCAATCCCGACCTCCAAGGACTGTTGCAAGGACTGTTCCAAGCAAAGTAAGGAGGTCATGGGGGCAAGAGTATTTTGTAAATTTCCAAACACGCTACCAAGATGAAGTCTTTACTCTGCAGTCTCCCAACTGAGTTCCTAGAGGTGGAAACACCTTCAGACACCAGGGATTAAGAACACAGATTTCAGGGCCAGACTCCCCGAGTTCACCCCTTACCAGCTGTGTCATCTTATGTCAACAATTTAATCTTTGGGCCTCATTTCTTCTCTGCAAAATAGTGGATAGAAACAATACCTGCCGGGGCCGGGGATTTAGCTCAGTGGTTCCGCCGCCTGCCTAGCAAGGGCAAGGACCAGAGTTCAGTCCCCGGTACCAAAAGAAAAAAAACCAACACAACACTACCTATCTCATAGGGGTTGGGCAGTTTTGGCTGAGCTAAAGAACTTTGGGCGCCCAGAAGAGTGGTTCAATCTGAGCTTGCATCCACATCACCGCGGCTTATTACGCACACTGTGGGACCCCTCCTGGGCGCATCTGACTGAATATATGAGCGAGGGTCCAAGAATTGGCACAGCTCACCAACTACCTGGTGACGCTGACATTGCTGATCTGGGAAACTATGCTTCGAAAACCTCTGGCTTAGAGCGATGGCAGGCATACAGTAAGTAGCTAATAAATGGGCTCTTATCTCTTCCTAGGTTCTATTTTCTTAGTCCCTGAGCAAAGCACTTTCTGCTCTGGTGTTGCTCAGCACTGCCTTGTGCAGAAGCGATTCTGAAATCTACTGGCAGTGGTTCGGAAAGTGTGACCCCAAGCAAGAGCTTCGGACATCAGCTCTCGGGTCGCAACTTGACTCGGGAACTTGGGGTGAAGCCCAGTGTCCTGTGTCCCAGCAGACCTCCGGGCGATGTGTTCTAATGGACATCAGGTTTGAGAACTGCTCTCCTAGAAAATCACCACAACATGACAAGCCTTCCTGAAAGCACCCGGGAAGCAGGAGTGCTGAAGGCATAGAGTCCAGGTTTGGTTAAACGGCAGTGTAAGACCTGGCTCAGCTCCCTAGTTATGACACTTCTTTGAGCGTCAGTTTCTTCATCTGGAAAATGGGCATCGTTCCAGGGCTTACCTCACAGGAAGTGCTTGACACCTGTTCAAAGAATGTTAGCTGCCATTATTATAATTTTTAGAATCATTACACTGTATCCTCACCCAATATGGTTTGAGACAGTTTATAACAAAGAATAAAAACTAATTTTTTTTCGGTACCAGGGATCGAACTCAGGACCTTTCGCTTGCCAGGCAGTCACGGTGCCACTGAGCTAAATCCCCAGCCCTAAAAGCTAATTTTTTAAAAAAGAAGTAAGAACATCATACACAGGAAGTGGACAGGGCAAGGGCCACAAACAGTCATGGTCCTCTAGGCTGAGGTCTAAACTTCCTGGGGGGCGGGGGACAGGGCCAAAGGCAAAATGCAGAGGTTAGGTGGTTCCGGCCCGCTCAGAAGAGGAAGGAACCCGGCTCCTCTAGAGAGAGCATTGTCTCTCGCCACACCAGTGCTAAGTTCCAGGAGAATCTGCAGAAGGCCCTGTGCGACAGGACAAATTCTCGGCTAGCAGCGCTTCTGGTACCTGTTTCTTTAATTCTGACAAGAGCTATGGCCAAAGTCCTTAGATCCCAGAAGATGAGAGACTTTACACTCACTTTGGGTGCCGGATGTCAGGGAGAGAGCGATTCAGGGAGATTTTATCACTGATGTAGATGTTAAATCCATTTTCTCGGTACGCCTGGTCCACTCTCTCTGCATCCGTCATGGGGTAAGGTCTCCCCTGTTCTCCATTTCCTAGAGGCAAAGAGTAAATTCAGTGTTGCTCATTACCTGGCTTCTGTGGGGAGCACTGTGAATGGAGAGGGGAAAGAAGGGTGGAAAACAAAGATGCAACTTTATACCTGCACACAGGGGACACCTCCAGAATTTGCAGGGAGCAGTGGGCAGTGGGGGTGGGGAGCTGGCATGTATTTGTATTTGGTTATGGTCCCGTCATGCACTGTACACAGCTTGTCCTCATGTAGTCACCATAGCAACCCTGTACAGTGGGCATGAGAGCTCTCATTCTACAGCTGAACACACTGAGACCCAGAAAGGTTATAAATCCAGGTGTGGTTCCCAAGCCCCTGTTCCCTCCATTCTCCCAGGAGCTCCAAACATCCCTGACCTTTGGGTCCAATCACCTGGACAGCAGGCCAGGTCTACCATCTACGAGCCCATCAACCTTGGGCTCATCACACCTGGTCCCGAGCTGCAGCTTCCTCATCTGATGCCCACAGCATGTTTGGGAGAATCTAATGAGAGGACCCACATGTGAATGCTTTTTGTAAACTATACACTATGCAAATGTGAGGAAAAGCGATTACTTGATGTGTAAATCAAACTCTGTATGTAAATCAAAGTTGCCACACATGACAAAAGATGTTTTTACTTTTTTTTTGTATGGGGGGGGGGATCGAACTTACGACCTTGTGCTTGCAAGGCAGGCACAGTGCCACTGAGCTACACCCCCGGCCTTAGATGCTCTTACTTTTTCTCAAGCAAGCAAGTGAAAGCTGCATACCCCTAGCCAGGATGGCCTGAAAAGCGTTGCTTTGAGTCACAGATTTGGGTGAAGAAAGCCAAGTTTCCTCTCTGCATAACCCATCTCGGGGAAGAGTCCCTGGTGCCTCAGGAAAGTATTCTGAGGGATCCCAAGGAGCACAGGCGTGTGAGAACTGAACCGCAACCCTGCAATAGTGGCCCAAGAATCTGTGTGCTTGAGCCCTGAAGAAGTGGCAATAAAGTCAGATGGTTAAAAAATCACCTCACCTTCTGGAGCTGGTGGTCTGAACTCTGTTCTGTTTGTTACTCTGCAACGTAAACACTGACGTCAGCTAGCAAGGTGTGCGTTGAGCTGGAGCCCAGGGGCTGTGGCTACTTCACCTCAGCCAGAAGACGGAAAGGACCCTGCTCTCTGCACTAGCTCTGCTCCACGATCTGCCACTGCTGACCAGGGCCCAGGACAGACTTGGCAAAGAACACACGCACAGCAAGCAGAAAGAGACCAGAAGATTTGTTCATGGGGATGCAGGGGGCTGCCGGGCTGCCCTGCTAGTCCCCGCTCTGTTACCCTGGGCATGCTTCTAGCTTTTCTAAGCCTCAGTTTTTGCCCTTTATACTAACTAGAATAAGGAGGTTCACTGCGCTGACTGAGATGGTAGCTCAGCGCAAAATCAGCACTTTGTTGCTGTTCTCCTCTTTCCCCTTCCTTCCCTCTCTTTCTTCATTTTTTCTCAGTGCTCCGGATTGAACCAGGGCCTCATGCATGCTAGGTAAACACTCTTAACCACTGAGCTACAACCCCAGATCTTTGTACATAGTGAGTCAGGATCTCACTAAGTTGCCCAGGCTGGCCTCGAACTTGTGCTCCTCCTGCCTTGACCCCCTGAGTAGCTGGCATTACTAGCATGGACCATCACACCTGGCTGGTTATTATTCTCAGTGTCTCCACTGCTCTTTCCTTGCTGGGTAGCCCATCGTTCTAATAATTCTAGTACAGATGTCTGGAAAACCAGCTCTTGACAAATATTTCCTTTCTGAATTTAAGCAGTACTCCATGCCCTTTAATTTTAAATCACTGTCATCAGAGGAATGCATGTCGTATCTTTAGATTCCCCTGGCCATTAGTTATTATATCAGTTCTTTTCAGAGCCCATGGTAAAACATAAATAGGTGGGGATGCCTTTAAGTGAGGTAAAAAAAATGAATGGAATATCAATTCCTTATGTTTCTATCGTGCTTTGCAATATAGAAGAGCCACTTCATATACATGACTTTCCTTGTCACTCTTACAGCAATACTCTGAGGCTGTGTAGGCAGGAAGTAGGAGCCCCACTGACAGATGGGCAGACTAAGGCTCAGGGAGTGTGTGTTTCACCTGATGGGCACATGGTTGGTAAGCGGCATCAGAGTTCTGGAGATGATTCTCCATGTTCTCTCTCACCTTATCCCAGCACCTCTGCCCTCATTCTCTGTCTAAAAGGAATTGTTCCGAAGACTATGTAGAAAAAAAAAAACTTTATCTGAAGCCCACAAAACTAACTCTACCTCCTGGCTACAGTGCTGGGTAGGGACCAACTCTACCTTCTGGGCCTGGGTTCAAGCTCCAAGCCAGCCTCATGTTCACTGTGATTGCAGGCAGATTACTGCAACTCTATGAAGTACAGCTCCCCTCTTACTAAATGGCCATAAAGGCTGCTATTCTAAGATCACACAGAGCAAATAGCGCATGGGATGTAGACCTTGGTCACAGGAGGTATTTAATAGGTGATCCACTCCTGTTAGTATTGGTCCTTGTTTTAGTGGTCAAGAATCCTAAGGTGGAGACATTTCTGATCACCCAGAAAAGGTGGCAGGGCAAATCCTTCGGGGTAGAATCTGGTGGTGTGAGTGGACAAACGGTCAGAACAGCAGGGAAAAGGTTAGGAGTCAGGGGCAGGGATGGAGCCGACAGGGAAGGAGTTGGCAGGAGGTCCACACACACGTGCTAACATGTCCCCCCGCACACACACCCGTGCCTACAGTCAGCGTGGAGCCCACCCGGGGATGTCCTGCCCTCCGTACCCACGCGCTGGGCATCCCTCCTGATGGCCCCCTTGTCATGCCAGTCCTTCAGCTTCTGCCCATCTCCCACAAAGAATGGCTTCTTCTGTCGACTGTGTGAGCCCTGGAAAGAAAAGACAAAAATTGTGAGAGACAGGAAAACCAAATAAGGTCAGTGATGCAGCCCTGCAAGTGCCACTGGCTCTGGAGCGGGCAGGATGGCTGTGTGTCTGCTGGATTTGTCCGTTGCCTGCGTCCACCTTTGTGTCACTGCCATGCTCCAGCCAGGTGTACAAGGTGTGCAAGGTGAGACAACAGAACTCAGCATCTTCCTCTAGGCGCTCCCAAACCTACAGGGGAAAGAAAAGACAGGCACCTCACCCACGGGAGAAAGTACCATGTGTCGTGTTGCCCATCAGAAACAAGGCGGGAGGCAGATCTGTAATTTGAAATTTTCTACTTTCCAGGTTAGGAAAAAGAAAGATGAAATTAGTTTTAGTAATATATTTTAATTAACCCAATACAATAAAATATTATCATTTCAACATGAATCTGTAAGAAATTATTGAGGTATTTTACATTCTGCCTTTTTTTTCCTTCCTGTTGGCACTAAGCCTTCAACATGGAGCAAGTACTGCACACTGTGTTCAGTTCAGACCTGTCTCCAGGGCTCTCGAGCTCAGGTGGCTGGCAGCGACACAGCGGCAGGGCAGGGCAGTGACTCAGGTAAGTGGCCTAGAGTTCACTTCCACTGGGAGAAGTGGAGCGTTCTGGACAGGAGGACATTGGCTGGGCCTTGGACAGGAGCAGTGAGGTGGGCAGGGCCAATGGCAGGTGCAAATGCAGATCTGGGCTTGGCCCAAGGGAAAGGAGATCTGGGCGCAGAAAGAGAAACTGGGTCTGGGTCATCTCTGTAACCCTCGGGGCCCGGCTTCAAAAAGGGTGAACATATGGCAAATGTGTGCAGGGTTTGTGACAGACAATTGAGAGGCTGAAAGAAAAAAATACACAGCAGCCCCAAGAAAGTAGCCCCAAGAGCTGGCCTGCGATGGCATTGGTTCGGTGCCCCAGAAGTAAGCCCATCCTAGTGGGCCCATTAGGAAGTGGCTTCCCTAATTGAAGGAGGGTGAATTCCTGGGTCCAGAGTCAACCGAAGGGGCTGATGTTTTCCCACATCAACAGGCAAGTCAAAGCCCACATAGCCTGTACTGCAAGGCTATTTAAACATCTTCCTGTGCATGTAAATGTCACCGGCTTTCTAGATCACCTTGCCCATTAAAACCCTGCAGACTTGTTCATGTCATTATGGCATCAGAGTTCAACAGTCCATTTCCTATATAATTAACTATGAAGGCCTTGGGCTAACCAAGCTTGTTTATTAAATCTCTGGATCATCTTTGCATTAGCGGGTTTTCCACAATGGCCCAACAACTTTACAGCATGTCTCGTGATGACAACAAGCTTCCACATTCCCCTCAGTAGGCCTTTTTTAAACTGTACGAAGATAATTCTGGAAGTTGGAGTATTAGATGTCTTGGTCAGACACATCAAGAAAACTACAAACACAGAGGCCACGTGCCTGTAAGCAGTCCTGAAGGCTCTTGGAAATCACAGAAGCTGAGCTGGGAGGTCCTTAAGGGGCTCTAATCAGTTCAGAGCGTTCCAACTGCCCTGAGACACACTTCTGCAGGAGGTATCTCAGGCCCTGGCCTGGGAAGCAGAGGCCGGGAGAGGGGCCTGCCACCCCCTTCACTCAGAGCAGAGTGCATCTGTTTCCGACACTGGGATTCCATCTGAAGACCTTCTTTTGCTAAAAGCAAGCAGGTGATCAACATCTCCCAGACAAGCACATATATCTGGAAACAGCAAAGCCACTTCCCTAAGCCAGACAGAGACATCAAGTTTGCGGGGAGCCAGGGGCCTGCCCAAGGTAATGCTCTGCTTCTGTGGTTGCTGGCAAACACTGTCTGGTGGCTTTTAGGAAGTGTGCGTGTGTGTATGTTTTAAAATCTAGCTTTAAAAAGTAGGAAGATTTCAAATTGTTTATCAAGATGTTTATCTGCTTCTGAAAACTCAAAAAGATAAGTCAGTATTTGGGCAGAGTTCCCCCAGCCCTGTAGCTGGGCTGAATAAGGGCTGCGCAGATAAGGGTGGAATATGTCTCTCCAGTTTGCTGTAGTCCCACCACTCCTTACTGTGTTTCACCTGCTGTTCACCTTGCACTGGTTACCTGCGTGGCCCCAGCGGGTCTATAAAGTGCTGAGATATACAGCAATGTGTCCTAGGTGGGAAGGTTGGAAATTGTTTGAGGGCTAGGAGGTTAGATGCCGTGGAGGACAGGGGAGAAGCTATCTTGTCCTCTGAGGAGGTCCTGAGACTCGAGTGCGTGCCAATGGCAGGAGCTGCTGAATAATCAAGTGGTCATCCTATGATGAAGAGACTCTAAAAGCTGGTGCTACTATGAAAGAGGACCACTTTGAAGAAGATGTCAAAGGGAGGCAGGAACAGGAAGCTGGATTGTTCATTAGGATGGGGTGGACAGGAGTCAAAGTGCTGGGTTAGATCCGGTGCTTCTCAAATTTTAAACCATCCCCCCCGCCCTTCCTTCCTCCCTCACTCCCTGGATCTGCTGAGGTGCCCTATGCAGTTTTAGGTGAATCCTTGCACCTTTCTGAAATCAAGAGCAGTTTGAAGCTTGTTGACATAGGGAGCTGAAAACATCTAAAACATGGTTGCTGGAGTCTTCTTCAAATATGTGAACAAAGCAACTGCTCAGAGACAATCAGTCCACAGGGAAAATGAAGTCCAAACAGGCCAAGCTATGAAACCAAGGCCACACAAGTGGGCAAGAAGATAAGGGCCATGTCCTTTGACTCCTAGGCTAGTTTGTAGTGGAAAGTGCCCTTGTCTGTGACCTTGTGCACGATACAGAAATCACAGACACCTCCATGTTCCCACCTGGAAAATGGACGTGAGTTTAGTAAATCAGTCTGCTGACAGGTTTGGCACAGTTCTGGGTAGGATTAAGGGTGTGGGTGCCACCCAACCTAAGGGTAGCCGGGATAGGACAGAAGGGACAGATGTTTGCCACTGGCTGGTCTTTCCCTTTGCTTGCTCTCACCTGCGTGCCTGCCATGGACTGTTTCTCCTCTGCGATGCCCCTCTGCCACGCCACCCTGCCTTGGAGCTAGCCAACTATGGAATGAAACCTCTACAAACTGTGAGCCAAATAAACTTTTCATCCTTTACCTCTGAGTGTCGGGTATTTTGTCCCAGCAACGAGAAAAGTAACTAAGACAAACGCTATGGATCCTGAAGAGGTAACCTGTTTAACATCTGATCCAATTCAACTGGCTGTTGCTGATAACAGGATTTGGTTTCTTCGTTAACAATATGTCACGTGCCCATGTAGGAACTTAGTGTTCTTTAAGGAAAGAAAACAGTTGTTAGTTACAGTGACATTCTACAACAGACACAAATGCCACAAGACCTTTAACAATAAGGAAGGCACTAACAATGCTTTTGAAAAGGCAGTGATTCTTAAGCAATAGCAATCACTTAATATTGTATAATAAAGCACGTCTGGATTTTTCCATCTAGTAGTAATTTTAAATTTCTTAAATTCTGTAAACTCAAAGATTTAGCTCTGAAAGCTGTGATTATTTTCCTTCTCTTGCAAGCATCTTTGGCTACTTTTCTTCCCCTGGGTTTTCAAAATGTCCTTTTGCTACAGGAGACAAAGGGGGTGGGAAGGTGCATGGCAAGGAAGGTGCCTTTGTGGGGAGGTTGGCAAAATTAATGTGGAAATCACATTAAACAATAAACTGGAAATGCATTTTGACTGGCTGCTCTAAATAACTGCTTCTGGTATCTGGGTGCTTTTACTTAACATTCCACTAAAAGAATCGATTAGTGTTCCAACAGCCACACACTCACACACAAAAATGGAATTTTAATCTTTGTTTAATCACTATTTAGTGTGCCTGGCACCCTTTGGAGAGAGGAGAGAATAGTGACAAAGCAAGCCAACTGTATTCTGCTCGAGAAGAAAGATTCGTTGAAGTGCATCCCCTAATCCCAGGACTGCAGGCTTGGCACAGCCCGCTCTGCAAGGACACTTGGACCTCTGGCCAGGCCTGAATGTGCCTTCAAATCCATGCGAGGGCTAAAAAGAAAACTGGGCAGGTCATCTGCTTCAGCTGGGGTCGGAGGTGGCTTTACACCCCAGACTCTGCTGCAGATTCTAGGAAGGATTTCTCCCATCTTCCTCTCAAGGAACCCTACAAAAGCACTGGAATCATCTGGCTTTGAGGTTTAAACAACTCTCTATATAATTCCAAACATTTGTTTATCTATCGAATGGATTATTCTAGCTCACTCTCTTCCCTTCAGCATCTCCCTCCCCCAACACAGAGCAAGGCAGTCTCTTCAAGGTGACCTTGCAGGTTATACTTCAAAGAGCACCCAGTGGAGCTTACTTAGCCAAAAGGATACTTACTTTAAGCAAGGGAGTTTGGACAACTGGATAAATGTAATTTCTTCCTGAGTTCTGAGGACACAAGCCAGATTGTTTTTATTTGTTTACCTAACAAATAATTACTGAGGGCCTACTACGTCCAAAGAAGATTGGGAGACAGAGATAAATAAAATAGTCCATGACTCAGCAACAGTATGGCTGTTAAGTATATAAGGAAGGGAAAAACCACATATATAAGAAAGGGAAAAACACTGCAAACTGTGCCTTAAAGTTGCAGAAATAAATTCCGTAGGTCCTTACCAGAGCCTTTCCTTACCAGGAAAGGGTTCCTACAGAACAGGAGTCATTGTGAGGGGCTGGGCAGGATGGGAAGGGCTCTGACTGGTAGCAAAGCGGGGATGGGATCCAGCTAGAGGGAAAGCATGCCCAAAGAAAGAAAGGCTAGAGAATGAGGGGGGTATTTCCTTAAGGCCAGGGGCCTGACCTAGCTGGAGTGAATGGGGTGAAAAGCGAGTCATGAGCCCCAGACCAGGAAGCCCGGATCGGAACTGCAGGGCCTCCTGTTTGAACCTCTTGGCAGGTGACAGCGGAGGAACAGGCTGGCAGAGAGCTCGGAGGGGAAAACACGTTCCTGCCTAGCACTTTCC